TTTCAGTTTAAAGGGTGGAATGAGTGTGCACATATTGCACATGTGCTTTTTAAGCTTTTAATTTGTACATGTTTGAAGCATCTATTCATTGTGCACAGTTGAGATATGTACATAATACATCGTAACTGTTCATTCCATTCCCATCTCTTGTCTTTCTGCTTCTCTTAATTCCCTTCCCATTTGTAAAAGTTCTATCTCCATTTCCTTTTATTTTTTGTATTTATACTCTGGATTTATCATATAAGAGAAACCATGCAATATTTATAATTGAAAATCTGATTTATTTCACTTAGCATTATGGTCTCCAAATCCATCCACTTTACTACAAATGACCCAAATGTGTCTTTCTGTTTGGCATAATAGTACTTTGTTATGTATAAATACTGCATTCTATTTATACATCTATTGATGAACATATAGGCTACTTCCAAGATTAGTTGTTATATGAGTTGTCATGTTATAAACATGGGTGTGTATTTATCACTATATTATGTCTTTAGCTCTTTGGCGAGAATACCTAGGTATTCAGAATCAGGGATACCTGTGTTGAATAAAATTTCTGCTTTTAGCTTTTGAGGAATTACCATACTGAATTCCATAGTAGTTATTCCAGTTTATATTCACGCCAGCAATATAGAAGGGTTCCATTTCCCCCACAGATCTGCCAACATTTTTCATTATTTGATTTTTTTTTTTTTTTCTACTTTAGGGAACGGTCTACAGGGTATTCAGGGTCTCACTACTATCAGACTTGTAGTGATCCACCTGTTTACAGCCTCCCAAGAGATGGGATTAGAGGCACACGCCACCATGCCCAATCTCAATTGCTGTCTCAGCGTGCCCCGGGAGCGGGGCATGCCTGGGAATTGAACCTCTCGCCCCTGTGCCTGCATTATTTGATTTCATGGACATTTTTTTTTTTTTGAAGTAAGCTGACATCTGTTTGATTCTCTTTCACATTTTTATTTGTATCAGTGGTAGTAAACATAAAACTTGAATTCAGTTTAGTGTCAGTAGATACCATAGGCACATATCCTCAAAAAGTAAGTTTCTAACCAAGCTTTTAAAATGGTTTATAATTGACTTACACATCTTTCTTAGAAGATACAGCTATAGTATTTTTCATTAAAGATAATGCTTTTGTTGTATTTGAGACTGCCACTTTTCTTTTTATGAAGATGATTATCCAATGGATTGATTATTGCAGATGCTGTGACAGGTGGCTGTTCTTGGAGATGCATATACGTATCTCTTGGGAAATGTTGTACATTTGTCTCTTGACTTTCTTCAATTTACAAATATTAAATTTAGTAGACTAGGGTGATGGCAATATTGCTTCATAATTCAGTAAATTAGCATTTTTAAATATCAAATTTTTATGTGCATTTAAATAATTTTTTTTCTTTTAATTAGGTTGAACTGTGGAATCTATGTAGTATGTGTTTATGTGGGAAAAAGTGTCAGGACTAAATTCTTAATTTCACCAAAATACATCAATGAAAATACATTACTTTGGCTTGAATGCAAAGATTTAATCTCTATTTTATACTGGTATTCATTATTAATATCTAAAATTTTATATCCTTAAATAAATTGTCTTTCTCTTTTCTCAATAAATGAAGCAGGAAAGTAAATATAAAATGTGCCCCCATATGTGTATTTTTTAATTTTTTTTTAATTTTTTTGTGGAACCAGGGATTGAACTCAGACCCTTGCATTTGCCAGGGAAGCGCTTATTCTACTGAGCCATCTCCCCGGCCCCCCATATGTGTATTTAACATCACTGTACATGATGAAGGGATTTAGTTGGCAATGGGAGTCAGATTTCATTTTGTTCCCCTGTTGCTCATTTCAGCACATACCAGCCTTTTCTCATACTAAGAAGAGGATAAATATAGGTAATAAATTAAGCAGATAAATAGATGTCCAAATTAAAGTGTAAGCATATGTATGCATATATGAATTTTGTACCCTAGAGCTAGAAAGTCAAATCCTAGCACAAAACATCATATAATTAATGATCTGAAATTTGATAACCAGACTGTAATGAAAAAGTTTAAAATAGCATATATTTAGACTTGAGACTTACTTAGGGTATTCAAAATAGTACCTGCTAGAGAACAGGACATTTTAAAACTTTTGTTACAAAGAACGCTGAAATTTCAGTTTATTACTAAGGCTTTCTTGAAAGCAGAGGTTTGATGAAGAATTTACAGTAACTGGTAGATTGAGACTTTTAATTTGGGAACAAAAGAAAAAGTAATATTTTTAAAGCTAGTTTTTCAAGTGTTACTATAAATACAATATTAAATTTGCCATTGTCATGATCAAAATTCTCTATATTTGCACAAAGTGGTAGGGTTGCTGTATATTATAGAATTTTATTTAAGGGAGACACTTAGCATAACAAGCATAGCAAATAGGGTGATTGAGATTTTTGTATGTGCTGCTGACTGGGTGAATGATGTTCATCAAATCCCCTACTTTAGATTTTGGCCTGTTACTAAAAGCTGATCAATCAATATTTTATTCCTTCTCTCTCCCTCTTTCCCTTCTTCCTTCCGTTTTCTTTTGATTTTTCAAATAGGCTCTCAGTACGTTCAGGCTGGCCATGAACTCAACAGTGTAACCCAGGCTGGCTTCAAATTCATGCCAATCCTGTCTCAGCCCCCCAAGTGCTGGGATCAAAGGCATGTGCTGCCACACCCAGATGAATATGTATGCGTCTTGGTCAAACCTACAAATTGCATGGTGAAGAAAATGCTAATGTTAAATATATTAAAGATAAATAATCCCATATCTACTTTTTCACATTTGTGAGTGCTAAGTTCAGCTGCTCTGCGTTTTAGGACTTTTCCTCATCTAGCACATATTTAAATGGAAAGACTAGGAGTATTAATGAGCAGGTGTAGGTGAACTGTACTGTATCAGCTAATAAAATGTTTTAGAATAATTGCATGTAATTCTCACAAGTTTTAGATTCTGTGTATTGTCTGACAGATTACTGAAATACATGATTTGCACTCATTGGTATAAGATTTTCAGTCTAGAATGGGGCTAAATGATCTAGGATTATTAGGGCTAAAGTTAAAATTATTAACAGTTATTTTTTTCTCTTTTTGTCTAAAGAAATGTTTAAGATAGAAAAAAAAGTAAAACATTCTTGTTAGCTATTACAAATCCCGTGTGATACACATTTAAATAGAGTTGGAAAGTACTTCTAAATGTGTTTATATGGTAATAATGTAACTGGTAAGTAGTATAAACTTTTCAAACTTGATAATTTTTCAGTTTCATTTATGTTTGTCATGCTTGGATCCTAATACCTGCATTTACTTAATATGTGAATAGATATAGTGAGTCTGTCTCAGAAATACAAAAAAAAAAAAAGTATATAAAGCAACCAAACAATGAACAAGCACAAAAAAAAAACACAGAAAAAGAATACATGAATAATCAATAAGTGAAAACTTAAGCTTTTTACTACCAAATAGAGGATCCAGATTGCAAGCCAAAAGCATTCCTGCAACAAAGACATAAGGGTGAAACTTCTCGACCCCAACCTTGCTTCTCTTCACTTTCTGTTTTCCACTGCTTGCTGGTTGAATGATCTTGGGCAGCTCATATAACTTCAGGACCACAGACAGTATCTTCATTTGTAGTGTGTTATCTTCAGTATCATTAATTAGAAGGAGATTTTGTGGCTTATGAACTATCACAGAATTTAGAAGGTTTGATATGCCTGAATTACTAAAGTAACAAAAGGATTGATGGTTTCGTCATACCTGTTGGTACTTTTTGGAAAATATTTAGTTAATTCTAATTTTAATAGATCCCTTATTTGAGAATTAATGAAATAGAATTAATTGATATAGCTGTGTGGAATTCTAATTGCTAAATACATTTACTAAATTATTACAGAATTTATGATATAGACTTGGGAAAAATTATATTCGGAGGTGGTGGTGATAAAATGAGAAGGAGTTTACTAGGTTGCTATGTTTAGTCCTGTTTTAAAATGGCTCTAAACATTTCTTATAACAATGCCCCTTTTACACTGTATTTGTGATGTAGTTGTTTTATGTTTTTGTTTAAATTTTTTTTTTTTTTGCCCTTAAAGGTTTTTAGTTTCTTTTTAATAGAGTTGCTTTTTCATTTTGATAGAAACAAATGATTAATGTTTTTATTGTTGGTCAACTCTTAAAACTTTTTAAATCACTGTTTAGTGTAAGAACTTAAAACTATTTTCATCTTTTTAATGTATCTTCTCCAGACAACCCTTAATCATAGAGAACAGATGAACTCACTGATATCTGATTGGAGATACTCTTTTCATAACTTGAATAAAGTTGGGCTAGGGAGATAGCTCAGCAGTCTAAACACCTGGCTAGCAAGCACAAAAACCAAGTGTGCTGGTGCACACCTATAGTCCTAGCACTGGGGAGGGTGAAACAGGAGGATCACTACAAGTCCGAGCTGTGTAGCGAGACCCTGGACCAAATAAAGTATTTTTTTTAAATTTTAAAATAATTTGAACAGGGCTGGCCAAATAGCTCAAAGTAGCTCAGCGGATTAAAGCACCTGCAAGCAAGAGCAGGGTCTAGGGGCCTATCATGCTGGCCCCACCCCCGGGGTGCACTGAGACAGCAGGTGAGATTGCATATTGGCACATGCCTGTAATCCTAGCTCGTGGGAGGCTGTAAACAGGTGGATCACTATGAGTCTCATCTAGTAGTGAGACCCTGAACACCCTGTAGACCCTTCCCTAAAATACAAAAATAATAGTTGAAAATTGAACAAAGTAAAGCTGAGGTACCTAACAAGGAATAAGGAAGAGTGTTAGCATAATTATACTAAAGGTAATGAATCAGATTTTGGGTGCTCTAAACTGGCTGTTGGATAGCATACTGCACATAGGCTATACCCTGTAAAAATTAAAGCATGCAATTTCCAAAGCTCTTTAAAATGGTTTGAATAGCCTAACTCTTGATACTTTACAGATGCTCCACTTAAGCAGACGTCTTCTATAGCTGTAGCTGGTGCCATAATTGGAGCTGTCCTTGCCCTTTTCATCATCGCTGTCTTTGTGATTGCACTGCTGACTCCTCGGAAAAAAAGACCATCCTACCTTGACAAAGTGTAGGTAACTTTTTTGTTTGTCTCCATCTATGAGTACCCAAGGTGCATCCATCTTTATGTCTGTCTTTACTGCTGTTTCTATTTAAGGTGTCTAAGGAATGGAAATAAGGGTTAATGTTTGATCTTTGTTGGTCTACCACTGTTTCACCAGAAACATCTTAAGACTGTACCTTAATAAATGACAGTATGGAGGGGCTGCTGGAAATAGACAAGTTTCTGACCCACAGTGGATTAAATATCTTTCCAAATGGAACCATAATGATATTTATATTAACATGTCCTCTGAACAAAAATGTGGGCCTTTGATGAAAACTTGGTGCAAGACATAAAAATATCTTAGTACATTAAGTTGCATCTTTAGTAATGTATGGAAATATAGAGAACATTGAACTGTCGGAAGTTGTTGAATATTTGAACTTCTTAAGTTTTTTTGAGGTGAATGCTTGGTTTGGGGTTTTAGTAAATTATAAAATGAGCACCTTATTTAAAAATAAACCAATGTTTTGACCTTATCACTGAGATAGATTTATTTATTTATTTATTCATTCATTCTGTATTTAAGACAGGGTCTCTGGAGTCTACAGAGTCTATAGGGTCTCATTACGTAGATCAGACTTTTAGTGATCCTCCTATTTTCAGGCTCCCAAGTGCTGGGATTACAGGTGCATGCCACCACGCCTAGTCTCAATTGCCATCTCAGCGGGCCCCACCGGTGGGGCCGGCATAGCACGCTGTGGTGCTTTAGTCCACTGAGCTATCAGGCCTGCCCAAGATAGATTTATAAGATGGAAATTACACTGCCTCCATGCTCTTTAATTCCATCAACAGCTTTGTTGCTTTTTTGTTTGTTTATTTTGTTTTTGGTACCAGGGATCAAACTGGAGACCTTACGCTTGCTAGGCAGGCACTAATACTACTGAGCTGTACCCCAGCCCAGCTTTGTTGCTTTCATGTGAAATTAATAATGCTTTTCCTACTTACCTCACATAGTTTTGATGGGAATAGGATAACATGGTATTGTCTTATAAAGTCAAGTTTTGGATAAATAGTATTTCTTTTTGAGTAGTTTATTAATGTTTTCTTTTGTATCCACTGTGAAAATCAGTGTAGAGATTTCTCAAAAAATGAAGAATTCCATTTACGAGCTATATCCCTCTTAGGTATCTTTCCAAAAGAGATAAATACATTTGTTGTATTATAGAGATACATATATAGTCATGTTTATAGTACCACCGTGCACAGTGGTTCAGTTATACAAGCAACAACTAGATACCCATTAGCAGGTAAATGGGTAAGCAGAATGTAGTATGTAAATACAAGGGAGTGTTACTAAGCCATAAAGAAGGATAAATTTGAGTCAGTAGGCTAGCAGGTAGATCTTGAGACCATAATGTTAAGTGAAATAAATCACTTAACATTAAGGCAAATATAGCATAGTTTCTCTCATATGAGAAATTTAGTTTTTAGATAAAGAGTACAATGAGAAGGATGTGACAGGAAACAGAAGGTAGACATTTTTGGCATTGTGAGAGGAGACAGACAAGGAAAAGGCAGTAAAAAATGATCAAGATATACATAGATACAGGTATGTAGACATGTGCGTATTTCATTATACACATTCAGTTTACCAAAATGAAGTAATTATATATTACAAACATACCAATGAAAAAGAAAAAGAAAACCCATTTTTAAAACATAAAAATCTGCCATTTGAAGCATAGATTTATTTTAAAATTGCTTTGTATACATGTGTTCTTCTCTAATCCAACTGTTTTTTGTATTGGTCTTTTTAAAGATACAGGGAGCAAATGTAAATTCTATCATGATCAAATTAATGGCATAACTAGGAGCAAATCACATCACTTTCATGAGCCTCAGATTTCTCACGTAAATGACAGTTGACACCTTGAGTGTTTTCTGTGATTATCAGTAGATGAAAATCTTACATTATTTAAAGTGTAACATGTTCATTCAGTATGATACCTTTAAAATTGGTTTTCTTTAATATTTTGAGTTATTGGTATGTAAATAGTTAAATAACTAATTTTGTTCTTAGATTATCTTAAGTTTTCATAATAAATCTGTATGATTTATTTAATAAGCAATGTGACTGTTAAATTTCTTTATATTTTTTATTTAAGATATTAATACCATATGAAGAATTATTAGACCAAAGTAAATTTTATTCTGTGTCCATAGTTTTATTTCCTTTATTCTTTAATACAGATAAACTTTTATTTACTAATTACAAGTAATGAAAATATCTGTAGTCTTCAAAAGTGTGAGACTGTATATAAAAATTATTTTCTAAAATTTAATGACCTATATCATTAAATCTGTTTTTGATGTAATTAAAAGATATTTAATATTATTCAAATATTAGAACTTTTACATATCAGGTCATTTTTAAAAAATAATAAATATATCCACCTAGGATATAATGGTCTCTATTTCAAGTGGTAAGATTTATAATGGTCTATAGATTCAAAGTCTTAATTTGTCTGATAAGTAAGAGTGAGGCAGGCTTTTGAAAATTAGTCTTGAAAGTATTTCTAAAAATCAATACAAAATGCTACATGTCTGTAGTATGTGACCAGTTTACTTAAATGATACATGTTTTCAAATTTTGTTATGTCTATAAACATTTTAAAGATAGTCATATGCATATGTCTTTATTCTTTCCTGTAAAGTGTTGGAAAAGTATTGTCGAAGACTGTATCTTGAGGAAAATGAATGAACCTTAAAATAAAACTACTTTTATTTAAATGTGAACTTGAACTAAATATGAATCAATTAAGATGATTGGTCTTAAACATTGGAACTAATGCCTATTGTTATTTTGTATGTTTGGTAGATGAAAATAAGCAAAATACATGTAGGTATAGTGGTAATTTTTGTAGTATAAAAAAAATCACCAAAACATTGAATTTTTTGCCTCTCTCTTTCTTTCTCTCTCGTTCATTCATTTGTTCTTTCTTTCTTTTTTTCTTTCTTTCTTTCTTTCTGTTTGGCTAAATACAACCTTTTTAACAAAGGATTGACCTTCCTCCCACGCATAAGCCACCTCCTATGTATGAACAACAATCCCCACCTTTGCCTCAAAAAGACCTTCTTTATCAGGTAAGTGTTGATTTATATAATGAAAATAATCTAAAAATACAATAAAAATTCCTCTTGCAAGAAATTATAATAACAAATAATTTATATAAATGTTTTCAAAATATTAGCTACACATTTAAATACTAAGTTGCATAATTGCACATTCATTTTAACGTGTTTAAGTATTTCTCTGAAATTTTAGGGTATAAAATTTGCTTACAACAAAATTGTGCTATAGAATGTAGTAAAGAGCTGCTTCTCATTTGAGTACTGTATTTTACTTTTGTTCTTTTTCAATAAAGAACGGGTCTAAATTTTACAACTTCTGTCTTTATTTTATTTATTTTTATTTTTTGGTGGAACCAGGGATCGAATTCAGGCCCTTGTGCTTGCGGGGGAAGCACTTATTCCACTGAGCCATCTCCCCAGCCCCCAACTTCTGTCTTTAGCAATAAATAATTTATATTCCAATTTAAAATTGTGAGTGTGATTGTTAACCATCATATTAAATTTGTGATAACTTTTAATATTTATTTTAAAATCAGTTTATACTAATTCAGTACTTTTAAGTGTATTAAGTAGTTTTAATCTTACATTCTTTACATGTTTACTTTTAATGTCATTTGTTTACTTTTAATGTCATTAAGTTTAAATATTTGAATTGTTTTATTCTCACTTCTAGAGGGTATTTTGTTATTTTTGTTCTGTTTTACTACTCACACTGTGTATTAGGTAATAACTTCATATTAGAGATTTACTTTTGAGAATAGTCTATAATATTTTCCTCCTCAAATAATGGTGGATATTTCCTACTTGAATAAGTCAAATCATTTTCTTATCAATTAAATTTGGCAGGAAACTTTGAGAGGAGTGTATCTGTTAAAATATTTTCAACATCTATTCCTTTTCTGTTCCTTTGCTGGTAGTCTACTACCCCAGAGTGGGACAGAAAAGAGCATTCTCTGGCATGCACACCCACAGTCATTGAGCAATAGCTTTATCATTTAATTATTGGTAGTCTTGATGATGACGGTGTGTCATGTTTTCAGACTTTTCACAAAGAATTCAGCTTTACATCTCTCTTGGAAAGTACATGAACATGACAAGTACTATGAGAGAGTAACAAAATACTTAAATTATTAAGCACTATGGAAGGATACTGTCTATTTTAACACAGCTAGCCAGTAATCTTAGGATTTCTAGACACAGTTTAAGAAACTTTGTAAAAGAATATTGGCAGTAATTTTTTAGAACAACCTTAATTTTAATTTTACAAGTAAAACAGTTACTAATAACATACTAACTTTTCACCACTTTAACAAAGTTACTGAGAAAAATTTTTGGCTTAGTTTTGAGGGTTTCCATCAATAGTCGTTTAACCCCTTGCTTGTGATGAGGCATAACATAATGGTGGGCATTGTGTGCTGGAAAAAAAGCAGCTCATGTTAGGACAGATTGGATGAAAGAAAGGAAAGAGAGGCAACTAGGGAGGGATAAGATACACCCTGTAAAGGCACAACATTGGTGACTTGTAGTTCCTCCAGTGAGCCCTGTCTTCTCATAGCCTGTTCAGCTGTGAACTCATCGACCACATGAGAACCCTCACAGTCAGTCCCATCACCCCCGCCCCAGACTAAACCTTGAAAGTCTGCTGCTTTAGGGATCAGTACCTGAGTAGTGACCTCAATACCTGAGTCTTTGGAGAGCACTTCATATTTAAACCTCAACATCTTGTTATTATTTTCAAATAGAATGCTTAAAAAAGTTTACACATTTGAAAAATACTTTTATTTGGCTCCTCTCATGTGCATTGAGTTTTAATTAAGGTACCATGCTATAGACATAGCATATATAAATACAAAGGGAAGAGTTCTCTTGGATGACTTCAGTTGACCTTGGTATAAACTGCAGCTTTTAGAATCCTTAGAGGCAGGAAAGACTTTCTGGATAGATCAAGTTTGGAATGGTGTTGAGGGGATGTTTTGGGAGCCGCAGGAAGCTAGGAAATTGATCAAATGTGTGTAGGTGGGACTGAGTCTCAGTGCCTAAAGCAAATAAGCTACCTCAGTCCTGAGAAAAACATTCTGTTTGGTTCAGGCCAGCTATTAGTCACTAGGCAACCATGTGTCATGTGTTACAAACTTTGCAAAAGTATAAATAAAGGATCATTTTGTTGTGCATTGAGTTAGTCTTGCCCATCAGGTGGACTAGTGATCACCTAGCCCAGCTTTTATCTTCTTGTCTATCTTTCTCATACCTGCCGTCCTGTCTCCCCAGTTAGAACCCTTTGTATTAAGATCAACGGATCCCTACAGGGATGAATTACTAAGAGGTTTTTTAGAATAATTTGATTGGTAATAACTCATAAAATATTTAAACTTGAGTAAAAAAGGAGAGGCATGCTGAAAAATAATGAAAAGTTTTTGACTGAAGAAAACTGGTTTAAAAGAGTACCTGCATTTTTAAAAAAAAAAAAAAAATCAGAGGCAGAGACATCATTTTGTAATAGTATGACTTTTACTCAATTAAAACTAGGCCATTAAAACATTTGAGCAGTGTTTTCCTTTTCCAGATATAAAATTTATTATAGATAATATTTCCTAGAATAGTCTGAAATTGAATCGGTCTTGAAATAAAAAATTCTCGTGGGCTGGGGAGATAGCTCAGTGGAATAAGTGCTTGCCTGGCAAGCGCAAAGTCCTGAGTTCTATCCCTGGTACCACCAAAAAAAAAAAAAAATAAAAGAACAAATTCTCATTGTTCTTCTAAAAGCATTTAAGAACAAAAATTAGGCTTTACCTACTTGTCCACCCTAATTAGCTGTTGCTTTTGAGCTTAAAAAAAAAAAAAAAAAAAAAAAAAAAAAGCCTTATTTCAGCTCCTGAGAATTTTTCCTCTTAAATTAGAAAGTTGGATAGAGCCTGGTATTGCGAAAAGGCATTTTCCTTGTGTGGGTGCTGTTATCATACTGTAGAGTTCTGTAGTGAAGGCACCCAAATATGGATAAATAAAAAAGGAATATATTTAAGTTTATAACAGCAGCTGTCATGTTAACAAATGATAATTCTACAAATTGATTTGTTGCTTAAGAAACAAATTTATGATATTAAAATGTGCTTGTGATGATTAATCTTGATCATCAACTTGAATGGATTGAGAGATGAGCAGATCAGTGAAGCATCTTCTGGGTGTGTCTGTGAGTGAATTTCCGAAGACTGACTCAAGGGATGGCAAACTGAGGGGGAAGCCTGGCCCCAAATGTGGGCACATCATCCAATAGGCTGAGGATCTGGTGGACCAAAAGTAGAAGGAAGAAGCCTGTTAGCACAGGCTCTGCCCTGCTCTGCCTCTTGGCTGCCGTGGTTGAGTTTTTGTCCACTGCACATTTCCACCGTGGTATTCTGCCTTACTTTAGACTCACTGCATGTAGCCAGCTACCATGAATTGAGACCTCTGAAACTATAAGTCTATAGAAAGCTTTCCTCCTTTAAGTTGGCTTTCTCAAGTATTTCATCACAGCCACAGAGTGTTTTAACTTCTTTTCAATTTTTGTCCTTAACATTATGCAAAGAATAAGTATATCCTTTGCATAAAACAAGAAATTTATACATTCTTTTTTGTTCCCTATTACTAAAACTCCCTATCCCTTACCCCAGATCAATATTTTTACGAATTAACATATCCACTGGATTTTTTCTGTGAATTTTTCTTGCATACCTCATTTATATTTACATCTACAAATAGTTGTTGTTAAAAACATAAATGGAGTTATTGAACACATCTTATTTTAGAAAGTATTCTTTCCACGTAATGTCTTACATTGTAGACCAGTATTTTTAAGAGTAGCTAGTGTAACCACTTTAAACAAAACCCTCTGGGTATTAAAAATTAAAATTCATGAGCACAGTTTCACATTTACTAAATCAGAATCTCTGGAGAAGCCAACAGAGGACATTTTACTACCTGATATTTTAGGACCCATCCAAGCTTGAAAGCAATATCTCTCTTTTATTCTTAGTGTTTGGAATAGTATTCCATCACACTGATACACCAAAAATTACCCAGTTATTTCTGTTTTTGTTACAGAATTATGGGAGGACTTTTATGTAGTTTATTGTCTATATGTATTTATAAAGCATAAGCCAAGAAATAGAATTACAAAGTATTTAATTTAAATAGATATAGTACTGGTCAAATTAGCTATATCAGTTTAGCATATCAAAACCCATTTTCCTTGGCGGTACTAGTAGTAGAAGTTGTTTTATTTTGTTTGGGGTTTTTGTTGCTGCTGTTATGTTTGTTTTACAAAGTTGATAACTGACAAACTCATAGAAGTTTCTAGATGAAGTTGATTATTGTCTTTTCATGATTGATTATTTGTGATTTGGTAAGCTTTATATTTGCATCATTTTCAATCCTTAATTGCTTTTGAATGTGTTAGACTTCTAGTTTGGCATTCTATTGTTGAAAACTTTTCTGATCTATGTATCTACTGTCTTACTCAGTTTATATGAACATGTAAAGATTTTGATTATCAACAGTATTTGCCCTACCAAAATGCCATGGCTTTTTTAATTATTAACAAGTAGAAATTCTTTTGAATTTTAAGTATAAATTTATATCTAGATTATTTTGTTATATTTCTTATTCTAATAGTTTTGTAGTTTATTCTCATTCTCTAAGTATATAAACTATTTGCTGTGAGTGACATTTCTTATTTATCACTTGTTTGTTATGATTTATTCTGTAGTGATTAGAATCTTTAGCAAGAGGACTCTGAATAAATTTTTTTCTTGTACTGAGAATCAAACTCAGGACCTTGTGCTTGCCAGGGAGATGCTGTGCCACTGAGCTATATTCCTGGTCCCTAGGAGGACTCTATATAGAGGTCTTAATTTTATTGTTCAATTTTAAATCTAGCATGGAATAATTGTATACTGACACAGAATTTCTTTGAATTAAGATTTTGATAACACTATATATTTTATGAATAATACTATTTTAAAACTGTATGGGAACAT